GATTACAGATGGTACCACACTTGCCCAGCACAGGTGGATTCTGGGGACCTGGACTCTGGGCCTCCTGCGTTCATGGCAAGGGCTTTCCCACCAACTGTGTTCCAGCAGCCACGGCAGCCAGGTTAATCCTGGCAGGGGACACTGCACACAACCGTTCCTCTGGTAAGCCGAGGAGGAGAGCTGCACTTCCTCACTGACAGGCGCTATGCGGGTCAGAGGCGAACACTGGACAGTATAGGATCACAGCAAACTGCTCATGCCCCAATCCGGTGGGCCTAAGTGACAGCCAGGTGTACACAGCGTTGATCCACTGAGCTCCTAAGTGGTGACTTCTTTAGTTACCCCAAAACACACACACCACCATCAGCCCAGCTGACTGGATCATCAACACAGACCATGCGGAAATCCAGAGTCTGGAAGCATCTTTCACCAGGTTAGGTTACTCGAAGCAGCAGCCACTTTGAAACACACGTAAGGATAACAGGCAGACCTAGATTTCTGTCATGAGCACACCCAGAGACCTCTTCAGCCTCCCAACACCACCTGTCAAATGACACCAGGGGTTTGCTGACGTCCTGCTCCAGCCTCAGCGACCCTTGGGAAAATGGTTGTTTTGTGCATGCTGGTCAACCACGCTACCACAAAGCTCCATACCAGCCAGTCCCGTCAGTAACTCCTGAACTAGATCATCGCAGCCTGCTAACCGCAGGGAGGGGAAGGACGCTGGAACGAGAGGGGCAGCCGTGTTCCTGACTGTTCCCCTTTTCCTCAGGCCCTGGAGAGCTTACCTGAGGACCTGCCTGTGCAGTGGAGATGCTAGGTGACCATCAGTGACTTCCTGTAGCCTCTGGCTTCAGAGGAGTTGGTTTTTCTGGCCTGAGAAAGATTCAGAATTAGTACTTTTTTGTAGGCATGTCATTGCAATGTTGCTGGATGTAAGTAATACACTGTGGTGGCTTTTTAAAAACCGGCTAGGGTCGGCCAGGCGGTGGTGGTGCACGCCTTTAATCCCAGCACTTGGGAGGCAGAGGCAGGTGGATTTCTGAGTTTGAGGCCAGCCTGGTCTACAGAGTGAGTTCCAGGACAGCCAGGGCTACACAGAGAAACCCTGTCTTGAAAAACCAAAAAAAAAGAAAGAAGAAAAAAAAAAACTGGCTAGGGGCTAGAGAGATGATTCAGCAGATAAGAGCACTGGCTACTCTTCCAGAGGACCTGGGTTCGATTCCCAGCATCTACGCGGCAGCTCAGGCAGCTCAAGCAGCTCAACTTCTGTAACTTGAGTTCCAGAGAATCCAATGCCCTCACATAGACATATATTCAGGCAAAACACCAATTCACATAGAATAAAAGTAAATTATTAAAACAAACAAACAAACCTAAGTCTCCTCTAAGTACACTCTAACCTCAAAGTAACTCCAGAGATGATACAATGTAAAAGAGAATTCACATTGTTTCAACAGCCTGTGAAAGGTTCATGCCTTACAAGTGGGGAAAACAATGGCTGCCCGCCAGACCACCTCAGTGACAAGGCAAAGTGTGTGTGCACACATGGAAACCATACTGCAGTGAACCAGGCCATGCCTGGTCAAGGCTGAGATCCCAGGTAAAAGGGAGGGGTGAAGAGCAAATCAAATTGGCCATTTTGAGGCATAGGATTGTGGGTGGGGGGTGCCCCTCCCACCCCTTCACAGAAAGCACAAGGTGTGGTTGCACAGGAAGAGCTGGCACAGCCCCTGGCTCTGACAACTCTCCTGGGAGGGAGCCTCAGTCTTCCATCTTTGACAATCAGCCTTGACACACGTCATGAGAACAGACACCTGTGCACCGTGGTTCTATGGAGGTGCTAACAGTGCAAAAGCCTAAGGGACATGTTACCTTTATGGACACAAAAAGGTTTTCTTTTTCTTTTTGAAGTTATTTTTATTGTGTTTGTCAGTCTGAGAGCAGTGCCTGGGAGGACCAGAAGAGGGTGTCAGATGCCCCTGGATCTGGAATTAAAGGTCGTCATGTGCCGTGCTGCTGGGAATGGAACCCGGGTTCTCTTAAGAGCAGCAAGTGCTCTTAACCACTGAGCTCTCTTCCAGGCCCATTTATTTTATTATTACCACTTTTTAAAATCTTCCTACCTGCACGGTCCCAGTAAGCTGTTTCCCTATCTTCAAATGAACTTGTGTGCCAGATGAAGTCCTGGTCCTACTGATTAAACTGTGAACAGCCAAGCTCCCAAGGTGTGCAAGCAGGGCTCAGGGTGTGACTTTGACCTTAAGTCCCCTCCTCAAGAAACCCCTACTTGCAGCATCAGAGATGGCTCACGGCTGTGAGCGCTTGCTCTGCTTGCAGACAATCAGGGTTCAGCTTCTAGCACCCATAGATCTAGGGGATCCAATACCCTCTCCTGGTCATGGGTACCAGGCTGGAATGCACATACATACATATATACATGCATACATACATGCATGAAAACCACTCATAAACCTAAAATTAAAAATCTTTAAAAAGAAAAAGCGATATCCACCCGGGAGCAGGAGAGGGCCCCTCCTCCCAGTGGAAACAGAAATGACTACACTCAAACTGTATGTACCCCAGCATTTGTGACTACCTCAGAGCTCTCTCCCCGGGGCCTCTCAGGATTTGATCCCTTTCTCGGTATTATCCCCATCCAAAATCTTATGCACTGGCTTCTGCTTGCACTGAACAATAGCTAAGCTTTGTGGGTTTCTTCGTTCTCCCCTGTCCCCTTTCCACTTGCATAGCTCATGAATCAAATAGGATATGCAAATGGGCATTAAGTTCTCATTCCCCTGAGAGCCACAGAGAAACTCTGCAAAGACTCTAACAAGAGAGGCCTTCAGGTCAGAGAAGGAGCCTCAGACCTTGTTAGTCCCGACTCTACCTCACAGCACTGTCACGAGAGCACTCTGGGTCCCGGGTTCCTGGGATAATTACAACATCCAATTTTAGTATTGTTAAGGACTACATAGAACACTTGCCATTCTTAACCTTAATCTAGTCACTGTAGTATTGAGATTAGGAATAACCGGGACCATGTTGATAACTGGCATTTGGAAGTTCATCACATCCAAGGAAGACTTACTGCACTGTCCTTTCAAAGCTGAGACTCTGGTTTATGGAAGTAAGAGTGATGTAGGTAGGGAAATCAGAAAACAGTAAGTCGGTAAGAATCCAGAGCTCCTGGAAGGGGAGCTAAGCCACGTGTCCTCTAAATGTCTTATCTTATAAGGGCAGCAACAGGAATAGAAGATCAAATCTTGCCTCCCTCAGTCTGGGTTATATACTTAGTAGGCAGCAGAGCCAAGCCCTCAACGCTAACAGACAAGGTTCAGACTTCTACGTTCCCAGGCAAGTTGCTTAAAACCAACCTATTTGGTTGAGACTAACTTCAAGGTGCCACAACAAGCCACACAAGAGTCCAGACTGCGAAGTAAAATAAATACAGGCTGCTGAGCGACTTTCCTTTATGGTAGAAGTAGCTAGGTTTCGAGGTCTAATGGCCACCATCTAAGGGGATACCACATAACAGACATTGTAGATATATTTAACTAGGCCTTTGTATCAGCTCTAGCCTACGAGGCTACAACAACCCAATTTTAAAAGCCCAAGAATAGGCAATAGCTCTTAAAGAAACCACTAATAAGCCAAGCTCTCTTAGAAAGCTACAGCTGCTGGGCAGTGGTGGCGCACGCTTTTAATCCCAGCACTTGGGAGGCAGAGGCAGGTGGATTTCTGAGTTCAAGGCCAGCCTGGTCTACAGAGTGAGTTCTAGGACAGCCAGGGCTACACAGAGAAACCCTGTCTCGAAAAACCAAAAAAAAAAAAAAAAAAAAAAAAAAAAAAAAAAAAAAAAAAAAAAAAGAAAGAAAGAAAG